GTCTTTAATGGTGCGATTGTATGATTTCTTGAGGTTACTTTACGTTTAGACAGTCAGTTTCTGATGCAATTTAAATCATTAGTCTTCGAGTTCATCGATGTTTCAGTTGAAGCTCGAGACCTGGCATGGACTTATTTCCGAAGTTGGGTTCGCAACTAATCCTACTCCGTGCTCGGTTGCCTTCGCTATGGGCAGAAAACCATCCGTTGATTGTTTTGATCCAGTCTTCCGCAGTCCCACTTAGTTTCCCTATCATTGTTGACAAGGCAGGTGAATCATCGTGCAACGCGAATTGCCAGATATTATTATCGGTAGTGGAAGTGGTCTTCGGTCACATTAAAAGGCGGCAGGCTTTTGAGGTTGAGAGAAGGGCAAAGGGAGACTGGAACTTGGTAACTTGAATCCCGGGTCACAGTCTAAGCATTCGTTGTCGACACGGGCCTGTGTGGGCATGCACACCGATCATAGAAATCTGGGCATAAAAAATCGACGTTGGTGTGATCTACAGGACCAAATCTGGGCAAAGGAAGTATGAAGTGGGAAAAGGATAGAGAAATGGCAAATCGTTTGAAGGTGTGCTCTCAACTCATGGTGTCATTATCAACAGCGGTAGAAGTTCAGAAACACATGTGGATTGTCTTTTCGTATATGGGAGTGTGAAGAATAAAGAAGGAGAGGAAGGGAACGAAAAATTCCAACGGAATGCAAGAGCACACATCGCATCACCCAACCTTCTACCGCATCTCCTCATGTGGCGGTAAAGTGTCAATCGATTTCAGGGTGTCAAAGAGCCCATTCTTCGAGTGCGAGGGCAGCATGGAGAGCGAAGGTACAGCAGTATCGCCAAAGCCGCTGGAGCAGGACACAATGAAAGGGAAGACACCGTTTCCATTCACCGCATTGCTGGCAGTGCTTGTGCCGACCAACATCGCGGTGGGCTGGAGAAAGACGTCCTGTCCGGTGGGCGACTGAGCATTTGGGTAGGCTGTGGGCTGCGGCGTAAATATGAGTCCCCCTGTGCCTCCATGGATAGAGGGTGGACGCATGGGATAACCCGACTGACCGCTTATCAGCGAAGCGCTTGCATACTCGGCCATTGAGCCATCTGGAGAGAGGGCAAAGCTCTACTTAATGCGTAGTAGTAGAGACTGTTGATTTGTTTCAACAAGCAGAAATTTGCAAACACAGGGTTGTTTAAGCAATGCCATTGCCTTGAATTTGTCATTCAAGTTTAAGCCCGTCATCATCTGGGCCTACTACTTGGCTACAATGTGACAAAAAAATAAAATGATAGATACTCAGAAACAATAAAGTTCCTGTATTAAACTTATCCTTTGAATTACTTCCACCTCAGTCCCACCTCCAAATTCTCGCGCTCTCCCAGGTTTACTCAGACTAACCAAATGGTTGACATCTCAAAGTAGTCAAAGCTATTTGTTACCTAAGCTCGGTTCACAAAATGAAATGGGAAATAAATTAGACTTTATTGCTCGTAATGCGAAGTTTATGATCGTCGGCGGATATCAGATCAAGATAAATGGACCAGCAGTAGATAAAAGCTTCAAAGGTTTAAATTTTGATAACTTTACGCGATATTTACATATTAACTCATGTATGAAAATGTGTGGTTTGTGTTGATGAAATAACACCCACCAAAATGACTTTCAAGGAAAGGAATGAATTTTCTAGGATTCTGATTGAACCAAATTCTAATGGGAGTTTGGTGTAATGTTACTAATCTACATAGATGCAGACATAAGTCATAGCGATTTGTTTTGACGGAGGAGACGAAATGAAGGACTCACCAGTGTGCGTGCTTGCAACCATGGGTGCGTTAGCGGCTGTGCTGCCGTTGGCAAGAATGGATACGGCGGAGGAGGCGGCATAGGGATTAACCGTGGAGCTGGGTCGGTGGCTGCCACAGCTGATGCCCGATGTAGGAGTGATGGGCGGTAGAGGTGGCAGTGGTTGATCAGGCGGAGGTGGCGGCGGTGGAGGAGGAGGCGGAGGTTGGAACAGAGATGCTGCTGTGGCACCCGACATCGTCAGATGCGGTGCTCCACTGTTTGCTGGAAGTGTTCCAAAGCCCGCAGTAGATTGGAGCAAGGGTCGGAAGGCGGGATCGTATGTTGACGCTTGTGGCTGATGTTGCTGGTGCATCAGATGCAACGTCTGTAACATTCCGTCTAAAATTAAAAAAAAATTATCATTTTCTGTTATTTGATCATGTGAGATTATTAGTTATTCGGAGAACGCATAGCTTCGAGTTCCATGAATCCAATGAAGCGTCGGGTTTAGAGGTGTTCAAAATCTACTGAGCAGTTTGATGCCGTTCGAAAGAACGAGAGACTACAGGAGAAATAAAGCGCAACGAAGCAGTGGGCCACGAGTACTTACACAATTTTCAGTAACGATAGCATAGTTAGAACATAAAAGGATTTATCTACACCCCAAGTTTGTGGTACTGTCGCAATTTAGAAATAATATCAATTAGTTTACGCACAAATCAATCTGACAACCTTCACTTTAGATACCCTGTTCTTATTTGAACAAATTGGAACAAATAACAGGAAGCGTTAACTGCAAGAATAACTAATGTCCACTTGGTAAAATACTAGAATTACACGCAACAACAGTAAATTAAAAGGTTGGCTGGTATTTGAGTTGACCATTGACTGCGCTGAGTGATTCTTTGATTCGACTGTGTAGGCAAGTTCTATCATAAGGGCCTGTATTTGAGTATGCCCCAGATCCTGCTGTTGTTGCCGTGATTGCAATAAGTACTGCTGCTTATACTCAGACAAGTGCGAGCTGACTCAACGCAGGGGGCAAGAAGCTGTTTTTATCACGGTAATTTGTTTGAGAAATTGAAGAGGGGATTAGAGCTGCATGGAGCAGGAGTAGTGATGGTGATTCACACGGCTTACTGCAACTCTCAGACACACTAACACAGACCTTCTTAGCATTTTTCGTTCCCTTGGACTCGACTAACTTGTCCACGCACTCCAAAGCACACGAAATCAGCAATTTTGTAAGCCTATTTTTAGAGGTCGATTGCTATAATTTCTTCATGAACAAGATAACAGTGTTTATCTCGCAAAACCTGAACGATACTTCAAAACAAATGACAAGACAAACTGTTAAGAATCATAAGTAAAATCATAAGCAGAAATAAATTTCATTGCAAGAATTATGTTGGGTGTTATGATTTAGCAAGCAGTGATTCCATGTTAATTCTAAAACTCACCGTTCCCATTGTAAGCGGAATACATATCGATTGGTTTGCTAGGTGAAGGGATGTCACTGGCAGCCATTGTGTTGGCCAGACAGAAGGCACTGGTAGGTGTGGTTCCACCAAATGCTAAGAACCTTCCATCCCCACCACCCACCAGACCGTTGTTGTTCTCCAAGAGTTTTGGCTTCCTTCCACTGCTACCACTGCCACCACAATCACCACCATCAGTACCTCTCTCAACGGTAACCTTTCCCAGCAGGGCTCGGTTGCCATGAGAACTACCGCGGCAAAGGCGACAGAGAACGTACACAAAGACACTGACCACGAGAACCAGTCCAACCACGCACACAGAACCGATGATAAGCGAAAGGTCGGTGGAATCCTCTAGTGAAGGCGGCTGGGCTTGAGGAAGAGGCGACGATGAAATCTCGTTCTGCTGCTGCGAGGTGTTGGCAAAGTTTATCTCTGAGGCTTAAAAAATTGCCGGAAGAAAGCGTCAGCATAGTGAAATTTTAACCAAGTGAATTACCTAGCTTAGCACAAAAGCTATCAATTATTGTGGAACTAAGTAGAATCGGTAATATTAGCGTAATATAAGTGTATTCGTTGACAAGCGTGTTAGAAGGGTTATTAAAAAACTTAGCACTTTAAAGGATCTGCCTAATCCATTTTCACCTTACAGAAATTCATTGGTCGCGATAGCATTGGCATATTCCAATTAGGCCATTTATCACAAAAATTGCGCGGACCTAACCCGATGCAACAATTAGAAGTTATCTGATCAAATGAAGCTTTTACGTTTAAAGCTACTCCCAACAAAGCTTATCACCGCAACCTACAAAATTCCAGCATTCAGCTTTTGAATGTCGTCATCGTACACCGCCTATCCTTGTTAAAATAATGAGGACAAGAATTTGATTTACTGCGATAACATTAAAACCGACACAAGCAGCTAAGCGCCCACGAAGACCTACATTTATAGGGTAGTCTGTTCACTTTTCAGAACACTAGATTCACAGATAGCATGAGGAAAGAGAGTGCCTAGTAAAGAAGCGCACCCTGCGATTGCAAGTCTAGGTGGAGCGTTTCTTTTTTAATTCTAAATTGAAGATGACAAGCCTAACGGAGATAAAGCTGTGCATCAAAAGTGGTCCCCGTTAAGGCTAAATCCCACGCAGTTATATAGAACAAGTCCAAAAGCACTAATTTTGTAATGGCAATATGATTACAAGAAGTAAATTTAAAATTATTTTTAATATAAACTAGCGGTGGGTAACGTGTTAGTTGAGTTGTGGGCTGATAACAGCTGCAAGAGACAGGAGTGATGAAATTGCGGTGCTGGTTACGTAATCGGTCGTAAAAGCAGCAAATTGGGATTACAAATTCAAGTTATTTTTCCTCCTTTTTTTCATTAGAAGAAAATTTTTCATTAAAGGCACTCTTATTAGAAATATTAGCAGAGAAGTATTTGAATTAAAAGGGTTGATGTCACTTTTTGTGATAACTTCCGAAAGGAACCTTATTACATTCCCATTTTTGGACATGCAGCGATCCCACTGTTGACAATAAAGACAGAGGCGGATGAAGTGGGGAGGAATATTCAAAGCTCACCCCCATTTCTGCTTGCCCTTTAACAATTTTTGGTCATCTTGCCGATCCAATCGTGTGTTAATCTTTATCTCACGTATTTTCAGTTTCATATGGCCAAAGTATGCGGGTAAGACAGAAGCCTGTCCATCCGCCAGAGAGGGAGGGGGTATCTCACCCAACAGTCCGGTAATGTCAATCCATATTAGCACCCTGAACTATATCATCTCCAAAATTAAAGTTACCTTGTGAGGAACGTGGAGGGCAAGAAGCTCGGGTGAGTGCACACCATTCACCACAGTTTCATTGTCAGACACTTTTCCTGTAAATAGCGACAAAGGAAAGGAATTCACCAAATTTAACAGCGGAACTACTATTCTAAGTCTCCTAAAACGTATGATAGGTCGTATAAAAGGTATTATCAATGTATTTTACTCGAAACAGGGAAGGAATCTGATCCATCTGTTGCGCGAGGGTACATAAAAGCCCCCATTTTTATCCCTCCACAATCCTCAGTTAGTTGTGTTAAATTTCACGATACACAAAAATTTCAACCTCATTGCAAATAATTCTGGTCCGCTAGCGTTACCTCCAACTGTCGAAATTCAATCAACTCCATGACCGTATCACGCCGGAAGTCACGATCTCCTAACCAGCCAAGTCAACAGAACCCGAGGACTTCAATTTAACCCCATCTCCCTGCCTGTGCCCAATGCAATTCAAACAAATTTCAAAGTTTCTGTGCTTGTGTGGAACTCGAAGGTGCATGTGATTTATGTCCGCGCATACTGTGTACCCTGGGTTAAAATACAATCCAAATTCATTCATCCGCGTATGTGCATGCAATCAGGCAGTAGGATGTAGAACATTTGCAAAACCGGGGCGCTTAAGGGGGAAAACAGGCCTCTCGCACCACACACATTGGATCTGTAGAGGATAATCTACAGCCCAAGATGGCAGCAATGACACGGGCAAGAGGCACCTCGTGAAGCCATAAATATCTTGATACACACATATGTATTCCCTCTTCAGCATTATGAGATAAATTCCCGCGCGCCGACGAGGGAGGCTGACTAAGGAATGGTGGATTTGCGTGTCCGCCTACCCAACACTAGCGGAGTGATCGAGGGGAGTGGCGTCTAAATCCCTCTCCCTTCTCTCCTCCCGTCTACCCTCCCTCCGTCCCTCTCACCACCCCTTGCACACACACAAACGCATACGAACTTCTCTTTTAATGCCCTTGCATGACAGCGAATAGCGTTATGGTGTGTTGATTTTATCGCGCACGCTGGCGGCGATCGCGGCGGTGGTAGCCGCGGTGTTTGGGGCCGCCGATCTCCATTCTGCAAATTGGAGGCACGCAAATTCAAAGCCTCGAGGAGACTACCTTATCTCCCTGCTTAACTCTCCATTGCTCCGGAAAGAATAAATTGAAATTATTTTTCACGTCATAGCAACAGTCTGTCGGCTGTTAGAAGGCGAGAACCCCGCACTAAGAAAAAGAAAAGGTGTAGAATAACCAATAAAATCGACTGCTTGATCAACAGATGTTGCAAGTGGTGGGCGAAGGTGAATCACATATCTACCCTCCAGGTTGAGAATGTTGATGACGTGATGTATAGAAGGGGAGGCAGTACGGCCCTCACACTGACATGAGACATCTGTAGGAAGCGAAGGGGGCTCCCAGCCTCAGCAAAAACCAGCAACAAAGAGCGCTCAGCTATCTATGTACAACGGCTACCCTTTCCCTTCTTCTTCTCTTACTCCTCCTCCTCCTCCTCTGGACAAATTTTTCCTTTTCGTAATGCCTGACATGATTTATGCGCCCGATTTTTCACGCTGCGATACCTCAACGACAGTATCTGGAGGGAACAAACTTGACCCTTGAAGGGAAATAGGCGCAAAATACTTTCTAAAACCGTCTCTTAAAAGCTGTAGTAGGCAGTACAGTTGCAAATAAAGCAGTGAGTAGTCGGTGGTCAGGTTTTGTGATTACATTCAAGAGCCTTAGAAGCCGTGTTGACAGATGGCGGATACCGAATGAAGGAAGCCGCGAATTCCGACATATGGCACATTATTAAGGAATAAATGGGTCGGAATTTTAGAGAAGAGTAAATGGGACTTGAGACTTGGATTATTCAGAGGCTATCACCGTCAAATAATATCGAAGCTAAAAACCTCAAAGCATGCCACAAGTTAAGGTAGGAAAAAGAAAAATAAGTTCGTAAGTAGATGCTCCAAATTGTACTAGATGAGCTGATGTGATAAGACGACCTATTCCTCGGCCTGCACAGTCTGTACTTAATGCCTTCTGTGACTCATGGTACGAAATGCCTTTGGGGATAATTTTTGGGAAGGCTAAGGAAGGAAAAGGAGGAGGGGTTTGGATGCGGAGTTGGAATCTTAATCACCAGCACCAATAGAAATGCCTGATGCACAACAACTCACGTTTCAAAGGCTGCAACGCGTGTAATGGCGTCGGCGGCGATTCGCCGTTCTTCTCCTCGTCAATGTCTACTGTCAACAGGGCTGTAAGAAGGAAAAAAGTGCAAATTTGGATTTAAATACGTGAAGTAGGTTGATCAGCCTTTTGCATGGATGGTAGACAAGTTATCTAGCTCCTCGGTAAGCCAGTCATTAAGATAATTATAGGTCATGGAAAGCTAAATCATCAAGAACGCATCCTCATATCACTACGATTATGCCCATGTGGATGGAATTATTACCTCCTCCAAGTCTCAGAGCTCCACAAAATTATAGGGATGATAGTGGGATGAAAATTAAGGGATTTGTGACACCTTGTTGAAGTGAAAGGAGAAATGTTTGGGGGCGGAAGAATCCCGCAAAACTGCAAGACAAGAAAATGCGACGAAAGGAGGGCAGAAACCTTCGATTTTCCCAATGGCGCTTTACTTCTTCAGGCCGAAAGTGAGCAGTATTGGGAAGTTAAAAAGGTTCCCTTTTCTCCCCCTGGGGAGTAGGCAAGTGTATACACGCGGATGGAAATGAAAATTTCCGGCTCATGCACCTCTCTCTCTCGCTCTTCACGCCCCACCGATTGCAACGATACTGGTGCTGCCTAATCACACGCCCTTCGTTCCGCATCCATCAGCGTTCCTGGACTTGAATGATCCTTCGGATTGTTTCTTGTCTCTCATTCCTCCACTAGTCAACGGGAGCAGGCAGAACCAAAATTCCTTCTACATCTAAATGCTAGGGCTATTTTAACCAGTTTTGGATTTAATTTTGACACCGAAAGATGGCTTTTAGTGCCGCCGCCTCAGGTAAGCCAAGCATGCTACGCCCTGACTGATGTGAAAAAAGGCCGCGGTAACTCATTTAGACGCAACCAACCTGGCCTGAGATAAGCCGCAGGTTAATGGTTATCAAGAGAGAAAACAAAAAGTTGGAATTGTCGACTTAAGTAAAGGATGAAGAGGCTGAAATGGACTAAATTTGGATAAACAAAGTCGTCTTTGTGACTCTTGAGTGGAGAGAGAGAGAGAGAGAGAGAGTCCAGAAAGACCAATCTCTCCTGTATCAGTGTGTAAGTGAGAGAAAAACACCACAAGGAGATGAGTAAAAGCAGGTTATGCAAAGCTAAAAGAAATATGCAAATTACAACGATGCAACTATCCACCTCCTGCGTTGCAATCACATCCGACACGGCAACAAGCTAAATTTGCATAAGAATCCACAGCGGTATGCAAACAAACCGAATGGTAGTGAGTGACAACCGGCTTTTGCACCCCATTCGTCTCAAAATGCATGAACTCTGGACAACCGGACATCATCCTCTGCCTCGACAACTTCCTCCAGTCAATTCGACTTTAAAATTGCCTCAAGACCAAAGCACGCACCCGTGACTGAGACACACAACCCTAGAGTTCAGTTATGAAAAGATCATCTTATTGTCGAGGCCTTGTAAATCAACCAGACCAACTTTGTGTACTCCTTTTTATTTCCACTGCCTTCTTAAATCTCACCTTCCAAGGAGGACTTGATGACAGGTGAGTTAACGTTGTTCGGTGCCAATAACAACCACTTGATTTGTACACACATGCTGGACGAGAAGAAGAAAGGAGACCGTGTAAATGGTCATGGAAATTTACCAAATGCTGCTATCTACACATGTCGGTGTGTGTGTGTGTGTGTGTGAAGTTTTTCATTTAACCAAATTAATCATTCGGTAGGTCCTCTGGTGAGGCGGTGCTTTCACACATACACACAACCATTAGTCTCAGGTCTAGAGGTTGGCACAACACCCCCGGTGTATATGTGCCAAACAATGGTAGATAATTGATGCCGCAAGGAGCGGATCACCATTGTTGTAGCTTCGACTTTCATCTACACCGGAATGCTGAAGACGCGAACACTTTTGGCACTTACAGCTCTGCTTTTGTGACTGTGCCGATCGATATAGTCTCTGGACATGTTGATAGCCCTAAGTCCTCCTCTATGTCGCAAATACATTTTTGCCCTGACATTCGACTTTATTGAAGGCTTGGACTGCTAAACTGATAAGAGCGCCAAGGGGCTCGGTCCTAGAGAGTAACCAATCTGTCTGACAATGCTGTCCACTTCCTGCAACAGACAAATTGAGTGACACCGGTCATAGACCATCCGTCTGCAGTACATGTATAGTTATAGATCAAATGGAAGTCTAGGCGTAGCTAGAATGGATATGACTGGGCAGATAAGTGGTATGGACCTACTTTAGAATCTGTACCTCATTGTGTTTCAAGGACTGACGTTGAACACTCATGACGGTAGAAGTGTTTCCTTTCTCTTAATGGAGTTCTCCAAACGGATGTTTTGCCAAGAGAGACTAGCGACGTTATGATCAACTATGGTAGTTGGTTAGTAAGTGTTTATCCTTACAGTAGTGATTGCACTGTGATAGCCAACGCAGGGGGTAGGGCAAGGGAAAAGTCAGGGTTTTGGGGTCACTAAAGGCCTTGCCTTCGTACACCACAGGACGACACAACTTTTAAGTCATGTCAATAGCCATATTCACCTCTTATCAATCCATCATTGCATTGGAAATATGTATCCAATCCTTCAGAGAAAACTTGAAACACTACAGCCAAATTCTGCCCCATTACTTGAGTAGAACGAAAAATTCAAGGAATGACACGTTCTCTAAGTATTTCAACTCAGACGCCTTAATCCCACCTCGAACATATCACCTTTTAAATGGCAATACCAGGGTTGACTGCTTCTTCCTTTGATTGAAAGGTAATTTGCGCGACGGCCACAGCGCCAGGTTAATGATGCGAGGCGGAGCCAGGGCCAGTGTGAAAGGCACGGGGAGAGAGGTGGGAAGGGGCCGAAGAAGAAGGTCACAAGGCAACTTCAGGATAAATTCTCAACCGCCTTTTGCCCTCCAACCATAAAATGAATGAATGTGTGTTAATTACGCTATCGAAGACGCACAGGCCATATTTTGTATAACGGACCGAGGTAATCATACCTGTCAGTGCAATGTTTAAATATGGTTAAAGGCTTCTTCTAACCACTGCAAGGTTACTTCATTGCGAAGCTTTATGAGTGAGAAAGAATTTACAATGCAAATATTGTGGTTGATAATGAGGGACTTAATGCCAGTTCGGAAGAAGGCATTGACGAGCGTAGAGTGATGTAATGGGAGTGCTGAAACGTGCATTCCAAAATAGCACATGGGACTTGATGGAGTCTTGGGAGTAAATGCAGTGTAGCACAAGGAATGGTTCCTAAAAATTTGCGTTATTGAGCATTTTAAGCATCCAGCACAGCAGTGATAAAAGTGTCTTGGAAGTACGCATCCAGGGCGATTTCTCAGGCCAAGAGGGACTAAGTGGAGGCTAGGGTTAGGCTAAGTGATAGGTGGCATCCACAGAAATGCGTGCCTTCTAAGGGCGGCACAGGGAGAAATACAAGACGAAACCAAGGGCGAGGGATGAAGGTGGGGGAGGGAGGGATAGAACTTAGTCATTTCCGGCATAATCTATAAGGTGAAATGGACAGAGCCTGCCATGACCTCTCAAAATGTTAAAACGGCATGAGCGTGTCCAACCATTTCAAAACCCTTGTGGGTGGGCTACACAGGTACCTTCCCATTCCAAGACTCGGGGTGCTAAAGTCGACATCGGTATAGATGCAATCATTGCAACCTGGACGGTAGGCACAGCAAGATTGAGTGTCTACAAGGTCATGACCACCAAGAGCAAATCCCCGCGGATTTTGATGTCTTTGTACTGTATCGTAAACCTCTTACTCCCATGTCACGGGGTTCCTCCACTCTGAGAGTTCTGGCAGCATAGGACAACTCGATTAAAACAGGTTCTTTTTTTTTTCTTTAGACTAAACAATTGATGTGTTTGGGAGGAAACATCAGTCACTTGCCTTTACAATGCACAGTACCAACTGTCACAATTTTGATGTGGACAGGTCGCGCTCAATTAGTAACTTTAAAATTGATTGCCAGAGCATGCTCCTCACACTCCCCTCATCTACAACTGTCCGAGATGTTGGGTTCCGCACAATACTTCCATACATGACTACAGTTGTTTAAATAGCAACTGAAAGATAAATTCTGACAGGAGACGGTGAGTGAGAGGAGGAAGAAACGAGGCGGAGGGGTGAGAAGCGTGGTTGGTTGGGCTTGGGTAAAAGGATACAGTTGTCCCCACTTGTTTCCAACCTCGAGAGGGATTAATCCCACAGACGACGACACTGCTGACAGAATGCAGTGAGTCACATCGCATCGGGTTGAAGTCGCATACCCAAACCGAGGGTTTGCGTGTGTAGCATTGTTGATGTTGATGCACTGAGGAGATTAAAAGCACTCCCATGCCACCGCCCCGTCGGTCGCCTATCACCACCACCGCCACTCAGAAGTAGCAATGCAAAAGATTTCAAAGTCAGGGAGCACAGACAGCAAAACGAGGAGTTTGGAAATAGCAACTCAAGTGACGTTGCGACACAAAACTCATCTCTAAACATAGCTGCCACAAGCGCAGCCCTCTCACAGTTAAAAAGTTATGGAATTTATTTAAAAAATGCAAACACCTTTTTAAGCGTTTGACCTTTAGGTGATGGTGAATGCCTTATTTTCTAACAAATAAGGGCGTAGCAGGCGATGAAATTTTTTGAAAGACCATCACTTCCTTTCGTAAATTGAAATGTCAAGTTTCATCATTATCATTCTGAACTGGATTTGGTTGGCTAGGAGGGAAAGTAAAAGGGGAAGAAAATAAATATTATTCACTGTAAAGATTAGTTTCTTGACGCGACCTCGAAATCAAAAACCCAGTGACTTCATCAGGAGGTGGGAGTTAAGATTTCAACCTAAACGACCTTCTGAGACTAAAGAGGACGGCGTGTCAAATGCAAGGATACTCGCAGGGATACGTAATGACGAGTGCAGTGGAGAGCATGGTGAGAGAGTAGAGGTTTATCCATGGTATGTTAATGCAATCTCAGGCTCTAGAGAAGATAGTTCAACGGCTAGTGATGGAAGAGGGTAAGTTAACTCTTTGCGAATGTTGGTAACCAAATTCACGACCGGAATATTCCTAGCTACCAACGGGAACATCAAAGCATGCCACGTTTACGATTGATGACGAGAGCTATGCTGGCTGAAGTTTGTTTACCAAGGACTGGAGGAATGCTAGTTAGATCCAAAGTTTGTTTACAGATCCTGTCCATTATTCAATAACAGTAGGTAGAATGTTTAAAAATTGCGTTATAAATGGCAGGAAAGCTCACATGAGTTGAAAGTGACCTCGGAGAGAATGATCCAATCCCTATCGAAAGTGAGTACAACCCTCACGAAACGGCCCACACGCCCCTGCAGCGGGATAATCACCCAGGTGGGTTGGATGGAGGAGATGTTCCGCGGATGCGAATGTAGAACAGGTGAAGCGTAGCGGTCAAAGTGCTTACCGCCTACACTGAACTGCACCAGGGCCTGTTTAAAGACTGCCACATTCTCCGCAAATGAGTTAAGGGCATGGATCCGCAATTCAGAGAAGTGTCGAACTAAAACGAAGGACCAAAACTAGATTCCAAGTGTTTCCAAAACCTTCTATCTGCCGCTAGAACATAAAAACTGAGTCTAAATGCGATAATACTTTGTGGAGCGGAACAACACTGCCTCAAGGTCAGAAGGTGGCTTTAAGGCGCACCGCCCGATGGCATTGATTATGTCTGCAACCAAAACTTCCCACCAAATTCACTTGCAAAACAACAAACTTCTTGTTCTGCGCTCCATTATCATATGCATAATTCAATTTGACATGCACATTTGCCAGCAAACACGGCGACACTGTCGAATAGACTCTTAGAGGCATTTTTATCACTTGACCAGTATTGAAGTCGAGGTGGAGGATTTCACACATCACAAAATCATGAATTAGCGTTTTTACTTCCGATGACTCAGCCAGTTTTGTCGTTAAATGTCACCACCGATGTCATAATTCAATGCAGTTTGCTTATTCCCAAAATAAAGTGCCCATCACTGTATGAATTTCCATTGGGCCAAGCGGACCTTGGTAACAACAAGTCAGTCCATATTGATAGAAGTCTCTTTAACCCCTCTAAGCCGCACCGACTGGTATCTTAACATTCAGCCCATTGTGTGTGTATGTGTGCACAGTTAATGACAGGCAACTGTTTTTTTTGTGGAGCCGCATGGACACACTTCAATCATCTGTGGGAATGGCTAGGCAACAACCGGTAGACCTGGCCGTCGAGTTGGCTCTCTTTTGCTTCCTCCGTGGCCACCTTCTCCCGCGAACACTGGCGCGAGTAAATTAAGTGAGGATGACTCACGACCAGCCGGTGGAGAGAGGGAGAGGGAGAGGATTTGTCATGCTGAGGAAGAGGCTGGTGACGCTCCATGCCTCCACATGAGCAACTCACACGGTGGGAGATGAGAGCGCGGTTTGTCATCAGAGGGAAGGAGAGAGCACTAAAGTCCGAGATTGCCCAATTGGGCATGGAAAAGTGTGCTCTCCACAATAGTAGGCAAAGAATGGAGAAAGAAGTGATAATGCTACCACCTACGGTTTGCATTATTAATGTTGACAGGACTCGTATTTGCAGTTTGTCGGAAAAAACGGAAATTCAAACAAAGACCTTGTGTATTTTCAAGAATACTAGGCTATGCTTCGTTTGGCAATGATTCCATTCCAATCAGCAGCCGTTTCCGGCTAGTGAAATGTTTTACGCCTACAGTGCATTCAGTCAGCAACCAACTTGCGGAAATCAACGGACCAAAGCTACTCAACTCCAGCTGTAGCGCCACAGCGACACATCACCGCACACCTCCCAGAAGCGTTGCGCATGACCAAGCTACTAAGCCGAGCTTCTGGTACTATACGAAGAGCTCAAAGTCCGTAACGATCCGGAGTGGTAGTAGAAAAAAGGCATGGGTCTCTTAAAGCCTAAAAATCAGTCAGAGGATCTCCTTCATTGCTGAGTAAACAAAGTCACTTCCGACCATGGCAAGATGACACTAGAAATGAAGAAAGAAGAAGGAGTAGTTTACTGAGGTCCATTTCTTTTAGTGCCTCGATTAATATTATGCAGGATTTGACAGTCAAGACTGCGGAGAAAGGGAGGGGAGAAGAAGAGGAGGAATTCGAGTGAATAATTTAGACGGTGGTCAACGCCCGCATCTTCAGCCTAGCACAAGACTAAGTGGAACAGTGATGAACAGAAGACTTCAACCAACCGATAGATGTTTCACCCTAAATTGAACACAAGTTACCATTTGGGTCCGGCATCGTTGAGAAGCGCCCTCAAGACAAGTCACGATCAACAAAATTTAACTCAAGGGTCGTCGCGCGTTGTGGCATGATACAAACGCTTCTCCATTCCAAATAAAATAAAACAGCTCATTTGGTTTGACTCCACTTGCAGTAGGTATTGTGCATGCAGTGAAGAGGCTTAGCCAAACAAGGGAGGAGAACAAACTCACCAGAATGAAAAGTGAAAAGTAGACTGACATTGCGCGACTGACATGGTGGAGAGAGGGGTGAAAGAGGTTGACCAGACCGGCAGAACCAGCCTACGAGACCACTGAGCGTCTGATGAGTGTCCCAGTGCATGTTACGCACTGAATAAGGCGCCTCTAGGGCCCTTCGAATCTCACCACCGACGTAGATGCGTCGGTCTACTAGAACACCCAATCCATCCGACAGGCGATATCGCTTATCTTCATTGGAGGAGTCGAGCTTGGGAAGACGAACTCCATCGTAAGAAGAATCATTTAAGGCAGCCCAGGCTAGACCTCCAAGAGGGCTTTGGTAGACGTCGCCTTCGGGGATCTCGTAGTTCAAAAGAGATGCTGAAAATATGAAAGGCAAACAATGAACATAGTCTCAACATGGCGTCTGATTCTCGAAACAAGTGACCCACCATCAAAGGCGTGTCCCAAGACGGAGAGTCTCAGGCACATAAATTGAGAGTAGTCTCTTCGGTGAGGTATTATGCGAAGACGTTGGGCGGTTATGGGAGGTGACAGGGGAATCGTCTTTGGTTGCATATTGTCTTGGTTTGCTACAATGAGCTAGAAGAAACAAAGTCCGCTAAGTACTACAAAAAACAACTGCAGATTTGGCAAGGTGGTATAGGCTAAGGTGCTGACGTCCCATTCGGCCACCTGCTCACAAATTCGACTGCAGTCGATGGCACCGAAGCCTACACCAGCCACATTGGCCATGTTGCGCGATTTACGCAGAAAAGGGGCACCAGCAGCACCACCACCGAGGCGAAAGGGTGACACAACGGCTGGTGGAAGAGGATGCAAAGGTTGATTTGATATTTCATTTTGCAAAAAAAACTTAACCTTGTGACTATTCCTCGCCATACGTAGTACTACTTTTAGGCTAGAAAGTGAGGGTTCAAGTTGGAAAATGCAAGTGGACGTGATAAAAATGACATCGGGAATAAGGCATGCGCGACATTTGAAGCGCTTACCTTCGAGGATTGTTTACATTACGTACCACCCTTTCACCCTTTCCCATTCTCTGTCTAAATTCAACTTCTCTAGCTCGCCTAGGGCTTGAGTTTTTGGTGAAATTTGCGCCACTCGTCTCGGCTCACAAATTTTGTGCGTCTGCGAGTTGACAGGTGTGTATGTGTGTGTTTTACGATATCCAATTTCCTCACCCCCTTTACTCCGCCACCGCTGCCACCACCACCAACCCTCACCTCTCCACATGACTCACATCCCCACCTACCTCTGCCCCCCAAAATGGGCCATGCGAAAGGTGAACAAAGCAGACACACGCATGCCTGCGCAAGATAAACGAGGGTGTGTAGACACTGCGTGTGCGTAAAGCGTGTACGCCAGCTGTCACAGTTTCAACGGAGGTATCTAACCGATCATTACTGAAGACGTGAAGACGAGATTTCATTTCCCCATTAATGGAAGAGCTTTCCAGTGCTCTGCTTTATGGCGCAAAGCCGACTCCCACCAAAATGAAAGGCAAATAGGTCCTCTCGTTTACAAGTATGAAAATAGTGGCATTATTCCACAGCTACTTCACCTCGGCAGAAAGGCTAAAGCACATGTCGAGGTGGAGCATGAACGAGATGATCATTAGAAGGAGGGAAAATCGGCTACTTCGACGTCTCTAGCATTAAGTGAGTTTCCAGCCAATCAGATGTTAATGAGGATGCTTGGGTTTGGTAGTGGAGGTGAGAGGTAGGGGGGAGAGGGGATAGGGAACGAAGGGTGAGGCGAAGAAGCGAGGAGTCACCTTCCGGTTGGGCAATTCGGTGTTTCTTCCCTCAAGAGTTGGGTGCAAGACGCACGCACAGGCGCGCGCCCATGGCCTTAAACGCACGCTTGAGTGAGTGGAAGATGAATTAGCGGCGCCATTGCAGACAGAATCTTAAGAAGAACCCGTTTAAAAGAGCCGCCACACTCAAACAAGGCATAGGAAACTGCTAATACAGCACAGCTACGATGTGTACATCAAAATCCCACAAGATACAAACAATTTGGATTGCAAGCAGTCCTTTGGAGGCACCCCAGTGTTAAAAAGTTTCGACGGCCAATCATGGCAGCATTCACAGTATGTGTGTAGTCGTAGTAACGCCAATCATGACCAACACAACACAGACACAATCCGCTGCGACTGAATGCATTCGCAAGATCATGATTGTGACGTAAACTATCACAGTCAGGGCCCTCAACGCCGTGTATACAGCTGCAAATAGCCAAGGCGAGTATGAACACATAGGAGAGCGAGGGTTTGACACAGGCACACGTACACACATCGTGGCAGGATTTTCACTCACCGATCGGAAGAAGAAGCATGCGAGGCTAACGGACACACACTGGTAAGACAGAAACATTCCACGTAGGTGATTTACGTGGATAAATTCAGGGAAATATGAAGTGGGTGGGTGGGGACAGAAAGGAGAGGGGGAAGGCGGAGATTGGGAGGGAGCTTGGGAGAGATTGGGAATCGTTTGAATATAAAACAGGAAGTGATCGCCTTTCCGGACGGTGGAATATTTTCAAATCCTATTTGCTGGAATCCAGCTTGGCCAAATCGGTACAATAACGTTTTGAACGAATATCCACTAATACCAGGTGGTATCAAATGGGAATTTCTTGACCTGCCCTCGCTTGAACACCTACGATGCTTCACTTGTTGGGTGTTTAGGAAATTAATGAATCTCTTACTCCTTCATTTAGACTCAGGCTGTGGATCCATTGTTTTAGTCACCCCTCCGGAAGTAGTGTAAGTACAGAAGTATAAAATCGCGATTCAAACAAAGCTGGACCATTTTTTAACCTTCTAAGGACCCCGAAAACACTATAGTGTCTAGAAGTAAATAACGAAAACATGAGCCGAAATCGAGAAATGGTTCTCCGTTCTCGCATTATCTTCTTGGACAAACGGGGACAAAATTGAGTGACACTTTCGGATTTTTTTTGCTAAAAGTGGAGCAAATGAAAACACCGGATTTCGTACACCAGCGATCACGTGACATACGTATTGTCAACCTTGCACGCGAACTCTGAGATCACTTGGAGTTTATCTAGGGCCTAGAGATTGGAAATGAGCAGACTAAATAGGGGGAGTAGAAAAACACCGTATCTAGGTCATATTGAAAAGTCGAAATTTGTAGACATTCTTAATTTTACTAGAGCAGCAATACCAAAATCAGTTTCGCTCGACCAACACTACAGTTTGGTCGGGGACGACGAAAGCCTGCGCACAACCACTTCTAAAACTCCTTGACCTGATCAACCGGTAGAATGAGTCCACATTGACATCGAGGTACCTCAAAATCCCGTTCCTGCTCCACTGAGTAGGCTTGTTCCAGTGACCCACCGGTTGACAAACCAAAATTCGTGCTTAATCCTGGTGTTCATAGGGCAATGATAACCAAATTTGGGCAATTCCAAATATAGAAAAGTGTGAAAAGTAGACAAGCGACTCACTTTTGTGCCGTTATGTGATATGAAGTCGTGCCAACGCCCATCACCGCGCTCGTAGCGAAGGAAGAAGTACGGCACAAAATGATCCTATGGGTTAGACAGAAGACCAAGTATGTTAGCTTCACGCAACAAGCTACCTCAGGCCTACTTTTCCCTCAAAAACTATCGCTTAAGGCAGAATGGTGTTCTTAGTTGGGGATAAAAATGACCATAAAGTCATTATTTGGTTTCACGCATTTCCAATGTTTTAGAATTTTGAAAAATTTCTGTATTTTGGAGATGATGATGTGGGACGACTGTTGGTTCTGTTGCACGGTGCATGAAATAGTCGGGTTCCAGAACGGGGACGGTGCTTTGTTATACCAGCCGAGCAAATTTCCCGTGAGAACGAAACGATGTGCAATAAAAAAGGAGACCAGTAAACGACCCCATTCGTGAGTGCTTTTTATGGTCCAACTCTCGACCCGTATAGGTTGGCACTGTAGTTGAGGGTCAAGCAAGACGTGCTTTCTCATCAGCACCACCACCTCCAAGCCCCTAGCACCGTCATGTTGCGTACTTTCGGTGCATTCTTGGACAGATCAACCAACATGTACACTCAAACAGATGTTCTCAACACGACGAATGTCTACAACGAAATTTCGTAGACTGTGTTAGGAGGCATGGAGCACCGTTTCTACAAGATGGAATATTAATTTAAGAGGACAGGGAGGGGATTCTAAGAAGTCTCCCAGTAAGTGACAAATCGCGCCAATGATTCAGCATAATGAAACATGCTTGCTGTATGTGTGTGTCCCATAAAAAACGAATTGGAGTGCTGGTTTAGAGCATCGCACCCAAATGTCACACACCGGAGGTACGAAACAAAAAAGAGTTAGGCGCAGGGGGGTGGTCGTTTTGAAATTAATTGCTGGATGAACACAAGGAGTAATTTTAGAAAGGTCAAAAACTAGCCATTTTATGATTTAAAAGCCTCTCCCCTCCCTTTCCGTCAGGTTGACAAAGGTGAGGCGGTGGCTTCCTGCTCCTCTGCCCCGATTTCTGTAGCCCTTGCTTGAGACAAAGAAGCAAAATAAAAAAGTCACTGCTACACATCAACAATTTAATGGATACATAACATTAAGTAGTGGAAAGAGGAAAAAAAGGAACATTGTGCCTTCAACGAAACGGATACTATTGTCAGGCATCGAACAGGCTTTGCAGCTCACATGAATTAAAGGCAATTTGAGAGCCCGTCCTTCTGTGATTGAAGCTGTCGCAAAGACTACATAGTATCCAAGATGATAGATGGCTATTGCATACTCGTAGAGAATTAACAACTTTGCCTCTCTTACTGTATTTAAAGATGGAGGATTTGGAAAAGAACGCAACGAGCCTTGAATGGAGGGTAACTAAGGCGACAGTCAGGAGAGACAAAATAGGGGCAATGCACGAGGCGTCGCAGCCAATGCATGTTCATCTTGTCATGACAGGGAGAGAGCAAAAAAAGGTTCCTACGTCTCCAAAGGTTGTAGAAAAGTTAAAATTTCGTCGCGTTTGAAGTGAGAGAGGAGGCAAGCAGTCAGCTAGGTGTAACAACTTTCGCCAACTGTTTGGGGCCGATCAGGCGTGTAAGGGGAGAAGCGAGGTGAGTCTTGTGATAGAAGAAACGCCGCATTTCCTTATTCTTTCCTTTTCTTTTTCTTTTTCTTCTTCTTCTCCTTGATGACTTAACGAGGCAGCGCGCCTTGTAAGAAATCAGAGGACAGGGTAAGCGCAAAGCAATTCATTCACCCACCCAGTCGGTACATGTGGAGGAGTCGAGGGGAGGAGTGGGGAGAAAGAAGTTACATCTTGTTAGTTTTCCAAGGCATTAATTCACCAACATTCAGTTTACACAGAGAAATGATTTAGCTCCGATAAAGCATGTACAGACCTGTGAGAGCCATGCGTCATCTCAAACAGAGGCGCACGCCTACGCGCACAGTGACAAGACCGTACATCACACATCACGCTCTCGAGGTTCTCCACCTTCGGACACAGCTGATGAGGCTGTTAGTTGGATGACCAACTCGTGTGTTTGCGTTGGACGCCCAAATTAAGCAGTCCTCATGGTGACCAACCCACCACTGAAACTCTTCGACCTTGTCTTCGCCTTAAAATCTATGTAAAACGCCTTCAAATTGTTTTAATGAGCAGGAATGGTTGACGAAAATCGCTGATCCATTCGGTACAACTGCTTTTGCTTCCTACAAATGTATCGGCAGAGGGCAAAACAACCCAAAATTTTGATTAATGAGTTTGCATTCGCTTTAATCGCTCTGAAGCACTTTGCTGCTCCCCTACCTTCCCGCCGTCTTCTTCCCTGCCCCAACCCGCCCTCGGATAGACATGACCAGAGAATGACAGAGACGGATAGCATCGAACTCTGAAGCACACATTGCATTCCATTTGGTTAAAATCTTTGAGTGCCAATGTGGACCGCCCGTCTTTGGTGAAATAATAAACTTCAAATTTTGACTTTCCACACTTGTGTATGCCATTCCTTCTCATGAGCCCAAGTACAGCGTCAGTGGTTTATAATTCGGGGCTGAGGATTTATTCCGTGGCTCTTTGGCAATTTTTGACCTAATTTTGTCAAGACTCTTAACCAACTTTGATACACAAAGCATGAACATCGCCTGTTGAAAGTTGAGTCGACAGCAGCACCCCGCAAATCGAGTACACCTTTCCTCTCACGTTTTCGTCTCCACCTTCGAGCGGTGAATCAAATGATGGAATCGCGATGATAAACACAACTCTGCCTCCTAGGGCGAATCTATGCCTGCAAAAGGAGCGTGCAATTGACAGAAGAGTGGCGTCATCACTTGGAGGAGAGAAGTTTGCAAAGCCAGATGTCAGTCGAGCCTAGGAAGGACACCAAGGTGTCAGGGTGACAAGCTGTCACCATTGCAGGGGTGAGTGATGACGCATAACAGCAGTCCGGATTTGGATTTAGTCCAAGCTCTGCTGGTCAAGCCTAGTAGGGCCTTTAGTCACTTTATTGGTCCTCCTGTACCTCAGCAATGCAAAACCTGACCGAGTATTATCCACTCTTCAGCTTTAGGAGAATTTAGAGGTTCTCCAACATCATCAGCGAAATATTTATGAAGGGCAGTCAATTGTCTAAAATTGGTTGACTTGACTTGAGCCCATGTGACCGATTTAGCAAGGATTGAATTTGACTGAAAAACAGTTTTTTTTCGACAGTAAATTTTCCAGTAAATTCCATCCACATTGAGAAACCAAGTGATCAAAAAAAGTTAGAGGATTACAGGTGGTTGTCTCGATACCTTACCCAAATTGACGAAGGGCCAGATAAAGCGGATGCACTAGATAGACGCTTTCATATAATAAACAGTAAAATAAAAACTTTGAAAGTCAGTACAGTAGACCGTACAACCAACTCTGATGCCATTTTAACCAAGCTTGTAGGATAGAGACCAACTAAGAGCCATAAATTGACCTCACTAGGCCTCAAAGTGGAGAATAGTCTACGACCCGATTTGTAAGGTGAGTCAGGCTTGTATTCACATTGGATGACCGGAAACGTACAACTGTCGGATTGTCAAACTTAGCCTTGGCTAGCTTTGACCTGACACTAGGGACGGAAAACAGAGGATAAGTAGGCCTCCACATTCCATGATGGGCAATAACTAAAAAACTGTTGAAATGACGACTGAAGAAAGGATAGGGCAAAGTCAAACATATTTTTGTAACGATATTGCATTTGGGTCCCTCAAATCTCTCCTGATGACTCAATGGTTTTTTTTCCTTCCACCGTTGAAGCGATTAAAACAACATGACACACATTTTGCCATGGCCCCCGCCTGCGGACCGACATGCTGCGCCAATAAACGACCCAGCCACCAAAATGGAGGGGTTTGGTAAGAAAGAAAAACATAGAGTTCGAAAACAACAACCCTGAACTTGCGTTTGAGGGAGTGAGGCGTGGTGCATTGTTAACGCACCTACAGTGCGAAAGTGGATATGTTTTAATACCTCTGCCACCAACTTCACTACGAGAAGGCTGGACAACAAAGGATGTTCGTAATTTTTCAAAATCTGTAAGTTCTGCTAGTATGTTGGTAGAGTACTGAAAGAGTCAAAAAGTGCTAAACGTTGCCAGCGCCTTCACCAGCGGAAGAGCCGATCGACAATAGGCATAAATAATGAAGTCACCCTCTGGAATGAGCTTGAGGATTTGGGTTCAATGTAATTACAGTAGCAAAACCACCACAACTAGAAGGTGGAATGCTGAGGCGACTCATGAAAACGGACCTAACAGCAGCAGGAGGACCACACCGCCACATTCCCGCGAGTCTCTTTGAAGTTTCTGCTGATGGAGATGTTACCACCGAGGGGTTCGACAATCCTACTCCACATCTACCTAAATTTATAAGCAAAGATGACCCCTAAACCACTATTTGTTAAAAGGATGGGGGCAGGGATTATTCAAATTAGCCACTAGAGGTGGTGATAAGTCAGTTTCGCCAATTTATTATTCCGAGACAAACTCGAAGTTAAGTGGAAAGCACAAATACCTTCTCCCCAAAAGGCAAGCCTTACCCACCCACACTAAACGAATTTATTTCCCTTCAAAGCATTAAGTGCCGAGACTCACAAAACGAGACAGGGTAAAAGTCGGTGCTAGCTAGATATCCACATCGATGACTATGAAATGGAGTGGAAAATTTTCAACTAACCGGTTTCGAGCTGAGACCCCAAGTGATAAGGAGGTTGATGACCTTTAAGCCATCAAAGTCGAGTTGAAGCCACTCTCTACCCTCGTCTTTTACAGGCCATCGGGGACACCATGCACGAGGACTGTCGTCGCCTTTGGAGTCGAAGACGCTGCCACTAAAGTTAAAGAGAGGTTGAGTGGAACTAGAGACAATAGAAGTGATTTATGCTTTGGTCCAACTCCATCACTTTTCGCTTCAATAAAGTCATGGGCAGTGGAGAAGGCGGTACGTCTTTTTCCCCCACCAGGAATGCCAACCCTCGAGCTTTGTTGCAGCGCGTCGTTGATGCACAAGAGGAAGGATGTAAATAATTAATTAACCTTAGAAATGTCCCACCCATAAACTAAAAAATGCACGAGACTAATCTAATCCCGAAAGCGAAATTCTACAAATCCATACATGGACATCCAGGTTGTAGCTGTGAGGTTATCGTCTGCGACAAAATTGACGCTAAAAATTCATTTGGAGACGGGCCGTTTAAAAAAATGAGGAGAGAGAATGGAGGAAAAGAAAGCCTGCCTAATCACATGATTTTTCTGCAGCCGTTTCAAAAAACCTCGTTCTGCTGACTGGCCGTGATACTCCCTCCTAAGGGAAAGCGGAAAAGTTTGGCTTTCGTGCTCGACTGGCTTTATAATATGCGCTTGAAAACAATAAAAAAACACCATTACAGAAACATTTGTGGTTTTAGTGATCAAGATCACGCATTTTTGAGGCAGCCAGAACGAAATGTGGTGCACTATGCACCCGCCATAAAAATTCTGCCTAATGTGAACCCCAAAAATAACCTGGGCTGTTGAACACTTGACGTTGAGAGCTGAGTCTCAAGAGCAATTTTAACCAAAATCAAAACCTGTCTTGTATTATGCGTGACCGAATAATGTCTTTCTGAGAACTTCCGCGAGTGAGCTTGCAAGGGAGGAAAGGAGTGGGTGGAACTGAACTAATGAGGAATTCAAGGTAAGAGGAAGGAGACAACTATCAAAACATACTTTTCTTGTCACAAAGACAGGAGATAGTGAGATTAGTTTAAACGCTAACGACTCTATCCGACGAAAGAGGGGATCGTGTGCTGAAAGTGGGTCGAAACATGGCAAAATGTGGAAACTGGACCCCCAGGTCACGGTAACAGAAGGCTTTGAAGTTTCATGGGGGTGATGTGGCAAAAATAATAAAGCATTGACATCCACTAGTTAAGTAGCATGGATACGATAAGATATTGAGCTTGGAAAGTCCATGACGTGCACTTCGAGGCTTCAAGCAAAGTCTTCTTTTGACAATGACACTTTTCGATGGTGAGAGCCAACGTTAGGTACCAGCTCTATCTCTCTGCTCTTGGAGGGACGGAGTGAGAGGGAATAAATGAAAAGCATGAGGTTAATGAATCGAAGATTTGGGTGAGAAAATGAACGACAGCTGATTCAGGTTAAAGCACAAAGTGATGACCTCATCTACCTCCCTCGCTCCGCTTTTGGCTTCATTGACTGAAATTTACAAATTTCTCAATAATTTGAATATGGGGACATGGATTTCCCTCCAGATTAAATTTACATTAACCGTTTTAAGAGAGACAGGTTACAAGTTAAGCGGAAGTATCCTTCCAAGCAGTGAAATGATCTCATAATCAGTGTTGTCGCCCTGCACACCTCACAAATCGACAAGGTTCTGGCCAAGTAAAGACAAAGCATGGAAGGAGGAAGGCAGCCGATTAGATTTGTCACGATAGCACAGACTTTACTTGTCATCGTGGAACGACAATATATTTAAAGCGCTAGAAATATTCTCGTAAGAGAGAACTGCACTATCCAAGCCTTTCAATTGGCAAGTAACTGCCATGAGATAGAGCGGAGAGCCGTCAATCGGTAAAACAAAGGCCGAGCGGTTGCGTGTTGTCACTCTCCCTGGCTGTCTGCCTGTCCGTCTGTCAATCATAGCCCGTGAGGTGGAGCAAGGCATAATGTGAGATGAGAGCTAAATACCTTCTTGAGGTCAGTATCCTAAAAATTCATGTGGTATTTTCAGAGAGGATTAAAAATCGAAAGAGGAATTAAAAGAAAATGTCGCAAATCGAGCGTGTTTTGAAGGAAGGTAGGTTCGAAATGCTAGACCAAAGAAACGAGATTCAATCCGTCCATTCGGCCTAAAAATCGAGGGATAGGAGAGTGATTACTCACGAGGCCTGGTTTGCGCCATAATTGTCGCAGGCGGAGCTGGCCGAGTAGTTGGAGGGTGTCTGGAAAGAATTGACCTTGTTGTCCATTGCTTGTGATAGCAGTGTTCCACTAACTGAAACCGAGAATGGCAAAAGAAACATGTGTTAGTTAAAAGTTCATCTGATAAAAGAGTGGGAGGGTATAATTGGGCTCATAACTTATCGCCGAGGTCAGCCCGGAGAAGTGTGGGGGAGGGAGGGCGAGAGAAAAGGAACGTTGTGACTAATGGAACCCGAGGAAGTAGCATCTATTGCATGGCTTTTTCCCATAAAAAGAGGGCGTGCTAGGAAAATGAGGCAAGCTCAGATAACAACAACAAAGTTGGCAGAGATAGATGGCGGAAATTGCTTGGAAATATTTAACTAGTCCTCTTTAGCATCGGGTATAAATCATTGAGGACAAACCTAAACCGTAGGATGACCTTTTGAGAGAGGAAAAGAAGATTAACCATGTGTTGGAGGGACAATTTAAGTGCAGATTAAAGTCGAAAGATCCGTCTAATAAAAAGAAAACGGGTTTGAACTAAAGAATGTGATCAGCTGTGGATGAGGTACGTGGATTGGAGTTCACCAAAGTCGTGGGGTCCAGAAATGCCCGAATTCGAGGTGGGAGTTTAGAATTTCGAAAGACACTTAATTCTGTGGATAAGCAAGTGCCTCAGCAACTCCATCGTACAATATGACCTCGTCATGTGCCACTTTAAAGTCCGTATGCCGCCTGGTTGATGTGCTTCGGAGAGGGGGAGAGGTGAGTAAAAGAATGGGCAGAAATGAGTACACCTATTCAGAGGCTGGATTTGTCTTAGATAATGCATTCTACTCTCGGTAATTGTTATTCTTGGCAAGGCTACGCGTGCTGAAGGGAAAATCAGACATCAATCCTGACAGTCGAAATGACAGTGATGGGAAAACTGATGACAGACTATTGCAATAATTTGTACCTACAGACAATAGGCAAACAAGTAGAGTTGCCTCTGTTTGACCCTCGGATTACCCAGCCCTACTTGTCGGTTCCAGCAGCCAGCAAATGCCAACTCAGGCAACTTATTCTCGTGTCCACGGGTGAACACGCTGATGGTGAATAATTTATCACACGAATAACTTATTTTTTAAAACTCTGTTTAATGAATGTGAGTCAACAAAGTCTAAGACCAGGCAAGGGATATATATATATATATATATGGAGTTAGCTGGTATGTTAGGAGTAGCCAAGATACCAGATACTTCTGCTATTACAGTCTGCAACGTGACTAGCACCCAACCGGAGGCCAAGGGCACCTTCAGTTGGACACCAGATGGAGCCAGGTGTCGGTCTACGCCACATAAAGATATCTGACACCTTCGAAAAAGACAAATACCTTTGTGCCCGCATACATGAGCCAAAGCGACTTGAAGACAGTGGCGGCACCTTTACCCCACGAATAGAAAAGGAAAAACAAATCATATATTATACCGAGACATTGTAACGGGTTTGGGGAATTAACTGGTGGAGGCCTTTTTTTCTCGTTGACAATTTAAGGCACCGCTCCGTTGAATGCCATCCTAAACCACGGAAATGGTGAGAAAAGATATTGTTGTCCGGAATTCAACAAAAGTCGAATTAATTCCAATCACCCAGCCCTTTTAGGTTAATTAAAAAGGTGATCATTGATGATAGGGAAGTGGACTACGAGGAAGGAGAGTTCATAATGAATCAAAGGGAAAGAAAAAATAGTGCCCATTAAAATTTCATGCAATAAAGGAGTTGAGATACAAAAGCACGCAAGGAGCAACCTCTGGAATCCTGTTCACGGTCCATAAAAAAGTCTACCAGGATCGGCAAAACCACAAATAATTTAGAAGATGAAATTTTCTAAAGTAAAAATCACTTTTTGATTAAAAGTTTAAATGTGCCTGTAGAAGACCTTTCCTTCTTTCGCCTCCTTCTCCTTCTGCATCTCCTCCACTCCCATAGTGATTGAGTCTGAAGCCGAGTTTCTCGTCAAACCAAAGAGCACTAGTTGTTGAGATGGTATGAAAAACAAACCAAATTGCATCAAAAATGCACGAGCCGACATCAAATACCACCACGCCGATCGTCCGTCCGGATGGCCTGTCAGACAGGGTTGACAGGATTAAAAACAAGAGGGAGAAAAAAGCAACCCAAAGAAGTGCGGAGAAGAGAAAATCCACTGAGTCAGGAGCAATTGAGAACAAGGTGAAGGAGGAGACACAAAGTACGCTCCAAACCATCGGACTTCAATTAAGTGGTACGAAGAAATGGAGATTCACCTGTTACCACCGATACATATTGGAAAGAGGTGGCAAAATTCGCATCACTGAAGAGGTGGGTAAAGAAACCAAAAGAAAATAAGCCAAGGAAGAGGGGGAGAAAGAGGGAGTAACTTTACCAACCAAAATCCTCGCTGGCGCCGAAGCAATCACGCTAACCGTGAGGTGAGTTAGGAAAGCAGAGGCTTGCCATCTGCCTTCGGCGCCACCTATGACCACCCGTTGCGGACGGAGAGGGATGACGATGGGGAAGTAGTAAGCACCCTTTTGTAGGTGCGAAAGGAAAAGAAATATATTTCCCCATCCCTACCTGCCGACTGACCTCTTATCAAAAGACCTCATCAACTGACTTTTCGCTACTTAAATGCTACAAACTCTGACGCCGGACTGGGATCGCAATAGTTGCTAACTGAGTGCCTTCAATCCGCCAAGGCGGGACTGAAACAGGCGGTGGGTTAAAATCTTGTCTCGCCAAGCTAACTTGGCGTCAATCCACTTATAAAAAGCGCTTCGCCTCTTGGCTTCGAAACCGAGAAACGGCGATTCCAGTAGTGCCTTGATGTGAGGAACTTGGACTGTTGCCAATGCTTAAAAGCCAACCGATTAGAGTAAATTAGATGAAAAAAATTGACCAGTCACAGATTGGTGTAAAATTTATGAGTTACTTTGCCTTAAAGACACACATGGGTATTTTAATCCACCAAAGGACAGCGAAAGTGTCGAAATGAGTACCACCGGCAGAATTTCTTGTCAAGCAGAACTCAAAGAAGGTAGAAGGATGCGGCAGACAAATTTCCCAGTTTCCTACAAATTCTGAAGCTATCGTGAGGTAATGAAATCGTCAAGCTCTTGGGTGACTAGACTAGGCTAAAACGGAGAGCCATTGTGACCACGACTGTTTACACTCGGTGGCATAGGTACGTATAATTCCCAAGCGTTCTGCTGACACTTTTAAACACATCGTTAATAAGCCTCAGCAGTTTATTGCGGAGGTCGAAGGTAAGGAGATGTCAGGAAACTTCGTGAACGTAATTGCCGAGGACCCAAACCGGAATGAAGAAAAAAAGTTGAAGGGAGGTTGGATGGAAAATTGGAGAAGAAGACACATCTTCTCTCACACATCGAATAATTCTCATTACCAAGGCAACAATGTTTTATGAGAAGAGGTAATCAAATTTGTAGGGACGGAGAGAGTCAAGTAAAACTACTATAGGACACCTGAATGCCTTAGGGCAGTGATGAATGGTTTACGATGCAAAAAACAAGCGGTGTTGTTTCACTCTCATCACAGGCATTTGACCACCGGAGATGTCGGAGACGACAGATGAGCACTGAGTTGATCGGTGGCAGCACTAATTACCCGACCAGACGTTTTAATTATCCATCTTCGGCCACGAGCCTAGCAATCACAATCTCAACAGCGTCAGATGAATTTAAACCAGCCTCCTTTACAAGGCAAGAGTAAAAGGGAGTGAGTCCACATAATGATTGCCTCCTCGCCCCAAAATAACAAAAAAAACCAATATGAAGAGAGACAACAACTTGCTATTTTGAATAGCATTGCAAGAGACAATGGTTAGTGCGAGTAAGGGGACGCGCGCGAGACGAACCAAACAATTTGGCGTCAAATTGGGTGGAAAAATTGCGTCAGTTTTTATCTCATCACCTCACTTCAACACAACTACGCCGACTGCCATCCTCGCATTTGTCAAAAGGAAAGAAAAAGACCTCCCGCAAGAGCGTGTGTAGGGAGGAGGCAAGTGGGGACTGAACTATGGCTAAATATAGGAGAAAGGAAGGTCTGAAGGCGAAAGCAAACCTGAACGACTGGAATGCGGAAACAGTCTTGGACGAGTGTGGGAGGGAACTGGCCACCACCGCAGTACTTATCAAGTTAGGGCGGGTGGTGGGAGGGTCCAATAGGCGGGGCTTGACTGCACCTAAAGGATCAGAACCAGGTTACATCTGGGTCGACAGATGACAAGTACCTGGACAGAGAACTGGTGGAGAATGGCGATGGCAGACCAAACAACTTGCTACATTCGCTAGATTAAAGATCAGAATTGATACTTTTGGAGAAAGGGACAAGTCGACCCGTGTCCACTCAATTAGTGGCCAATCATAGTTGATAATTAAGCCCAAGAATTCGTTAATCATCATCCTCTACCGAATTTTGTAATGCATCATTAATTTAGTAAACTGGGAAGATTAAAATCCGTGGACTAATGAATTACACCGGACATTTTAAACATGCTTTGGGGAACAATTTGCCCAATTTGCTGGTAAAATGAGTTAATCATAAATAATCGCGACGTTGCGATGCTTATGGAGCTACCGGATTCGAGGGGGGCAGGGATAGGTAAAAACAAGCAGAGTCAGACATTCCACGGCGAGGCGCCCGTTCACCCGCCTGATCCAGACAACGAGTGAAGGCGACTGTCCATTCGAACTCCCGCGGCTTTTAAAAAAGGACGTGGTTAAGTAAAATGCATCTTCAAGACCGAAACGTAACGCCTTCATTCGTCTGCTCTAGATTTCACATTATCGAGACGAGAGAAGGAAAATTACTTGAAAGTGGCGAAAATCAAAACTTCTTCACTAAGTAGTGAAATAAAAAAGGCCAAGTCTGGGCCAAATCACAGACATTGCAACACAGCGGACGATAAAGGGAACCAAGCTAAACTTCTACTTCACTGTTTCGGCGTTTATTGAGGCCATCCGTATCCTGGGAAACGCTTGCCAGTGGGCAATACGTCATAGCAGACTGATGAGATTGG